AAATAGATACGAAAGTGTTCAGGGGATTCTGGCTGCAACTGTACACACGGTATTAAAAAAAAATATATATCTTCCCGGATTACGAAATGAACACTGCGAATCCTGGTGTCTCGGTAGAGTTGTCTTTTTCCTTCGTCCATTGTGTCATATTGTTTCACGCCAAAAAAATGGTAAGATATATATTTTTACTACCATGTTTACTGTACATAACAACCTCTATCCCCGTGTACAAATTTAACATACGTGTAAGGCGAAATATTAATAGATATTCTTAAAACTAATTAGGTGATTCTGCAGGTTTGGATGTGGTTCTGCAGGTGTGGGTGTGGTTTTGCTAGTGTGGGTGTGGTTCTACAGGTGAGGGTGTGGTTTTGCTAGTGTGGGTTTGGTTCTGCAGGTGTGAGTGTGGTTCTGCAAGTGTGAGTGTAGTTCTGCAGGTGTGGGCGTGGTTCTGCAGGTGTGGATATGGTTCTCCAGGTGTGGATGTGGTTCTGCTGATGTGGGTGTGGTTCTACAGGTGTGGGTGTGGTTCTACAGGTGTGGGTGTGGTTCTACAGGTGTGGATGTGGTTCTACAGGTGTGGGTGTGGTTCTACGGGTGTGGATGTGGTTCTACAGGTGTGAGGGTGGTTCTACAGGTGTGAGGGTGGTTCTACAGGTGTGGGTTTGGTTCTACAGGTGTGGATGTGGTTCTACAGGTGTGGATGTGGTTCTACAGGTGTGGATGTGGTTCTACAGGTGTGGATGTGTGGGATGTGGTTCTACAGGTGTGGATGTGGTTCTACAAGTGTGGGTGTGGTTCTGTGGTTCTACAAGTGTGGGTGTGGTGGGTGTGGTTCTACAGATGCGGGTGTGGTTCTACAAATGTGGGTGGGGTTTCTACAGGTGTGTGGGTGTGGTTCTAAAGGTGTGTGGGTGTGGTTCTACAGGTGTGTGGGGTGTGGGTGTTCTACAGGTGTGTGGGTGTGGTTCTGCTGGTGTGGGTGTGGTTCTACAGGTGTGTGGATGTGGTTCTGATGGTGTGTCTGGTTCTACTGGTTTGGGCATGGTTCTATAGGTCTGTAGGTTTTGTTCTACGAGTGTGGTTCTGGTTCTACATGTGTGGATCTAATTCTACAGGTGTGAAATTGGTTCTACAGGTGTGGAATTGGTTCTACAGCTGTGGGTGTGGTTCTGCTGGTGTGTGTGTGTGTGGTTCTGCTAGTGTGAGTCTGGTTCTACGGATGTGGGCCTGGTTCTACGGATGTGGGCCTGGTTCTACAGATGTGAAACTGGTTCTACAGGTGTATGTCTCTCGTAGTACAGGATCTTGTTTTCTTACTCTATACGATTGTGGTTCATAACCTTGGTTCTACATGTCCTTACTACCCGGAGAGCTGCCAGTGTCCCAATTTAATTTTTTTTTTCTTTTTTTTTCGGTCTTGTAATTACGGCCAGGGGAGGTCGTTCAATAACTTGTAATGATAACGCATGATAGTACATGACACGTGCGTCCAAAATTGCATGAGTGTTAATGAGGCGTCTACCCAAGTACATGTCTCGTAATTTACAGGTGTGATATTAAGACGGGCTGCATCACGTACGGTGGCCGATAATTAGGGCGAGGGGGTGGTATTACTGGTGCATTGGGCGTAGTAGTATACTGTACATACGTCCTACGCCACGGACAATGATTCTAGGGTAGTACGTTGTATATATACCAGGTGCGTACGTTCTAACTGGAGTACCTTACGTTCTACATAGGTTTACATTTTATATATATCGCGTACGTTTACATTACATGCATTTTATACCACGTACATTCTATACCACGTACATTTTACACCACGTACATTTTACACCACGTACATGTTACACCACGTACATTCCATACCAAGTACCTTCTATATCACGTACCTTCTATATCACGTACATTCTATACCACGTACATTCTATATATCACGAATAATCTGCACCACGTACAAACCACGTACAATCTGCAGCCCATAAACGTCTCTCCACGCCACGTACACTGAATAATTAAGAGTGGTGACTAGCAATACACAAGCCAGGCACATTATATAATTTCTAGCGCACAGTATATGCTATAACTGGACACCTCATAAACCCAACCTCACCTAACCCAACCTCACCTCACCTAACCTCACCTAACCCAACCTCACCTAACCCAACCTCACCTAACCCAACCTCACCTAACCTAACCTATCCTATTAACTTCACAAGCCGACAGAAATATATATAATTGACTATACCAATAACTGCCTATAACACGAGACATCAAGTTCCTAAGGTGTAGTATACGATCTATAACTGGTTAATTGGCTGTAGTTATAGTGTTAATTAAAGAACTATAACTACTGCATTTAAATGGCATATAATTTGGACAATAATTAATTAATATTTTATGATTGTGTTTCAGCTCAAGTTCGGATATTACTAAGTTAAGAGTCAGTCTAACTTATTCACTTAAGTTAGTTTTATAAGTACACTTAACAGGATCTTTAAGTGCATATAACTAACTCACTAAAGTTTACAATAATCTTATAAGTATATTTACCTCCGCGAAGAGATATTTTAAGTAGGCAAGGTACTTAATATAAGTGACTGTCGCTTTAAGTGACTTCAATAAGTGTTTTAAGTACAATATCGACCCACGAACTAAGATAACTTGATCCATTAATTTAGAGAGTTAACGTACTCAAAGGGTTAAAGTCGAAGTACTCAAAAGGATAAGTTACAGCAGCCAAGAAGTGGGTCAAGTTATCGTAATCAAGAGGTCAAGTTCCAGTACTCCAGGAGTTAACTCATAGTACTCATGGAGTATAGTTAAAGTACTCAAGGGGTAAAGTTAAAGCACTCAAGAGGTTAAATCAGTACTCAAGGGATTAACGCATGGTACTCAAGACATTAAGTTCCAGTACTCAAAGGGTTAACTCAGTACTCAAGGGGTTAAGTCACAGTGCTGAAATACTTAAACATTACTGACAATAAACAACCCACGAGAGACTAATAACAACAGTACCTCCAGTGTTATATTACCAAGCACGTACACACACACACACGTACACACACACACACACAAACACACACACGTACACACACACACACACACGTACACACACACACACACACGTGCACACACACACACACATACACACACATACACACACGTACACACACACACACACGTACACAAACACACACACACACACACGTACACACACACACACACACACACACGTACACAAACACAAACACACACACACACACACTACTTATAATAGACCTCACGAACAGCCTTTAATAATTGTACACACCAAACATGTACACAAAAGTAAACCACCCCCACAGCCACCAATCACCACGCACGATCAGTATCACCACAGTCGGTAATTAAGTATACCAACCACCTCGTTATGTTCACTAATGTCACCCCCCAACCTGTAATTAATACCAACGCCAATCCACACACAAAAAGGTCACAACAACCTGTAATTGGCTCCGCTAACGACGTCTGCTCATCGCTAATCACCTATTATAATTACGACAACTATCACCTACAATCATCGATGTCCGAGTCATTAAAATGTCCACCAGGCATTAAATAAATAAACCAGCATCATTTAACCACCTGTAACTACGTCACTGAACATGTTAATTAACAGCCAATTATAGCAATAACCACGACAGCAACCATCACGTGTAGTTAATTAGTTATCGATCTTTTAAGTCCTAATTACGTCCATCAAATACTAAATAAATCATTACAACCCATAACTACACCATTAAAGACATCGACCAAACAGCCAATACCATCATCTAATCCCCCCCCCCCCCCATCAACCCTCACATGCGCCTATCAAGTGAGCACCACACACCCGCCCATCAAACCAGTGAGCAAGACTAATAAAAATTCCAATAAACTCTGTAATTGCACCAATAATGACCTCCACTAATCATCAATTAAGGTTATAATTACAGCCACCACCGCCGCGACCATCCATCAATTCAGAGTCACAACTGCATCGGCTGGCATGATTTCCTGGACCTCCACCCCACTGAGGCAAAGGTCAATAACACACGCCTCGCTACCACCACAACCTGACAACCAGCTCTTGTTTATAATCCACACATGACTTGTTTGTACTTATCTCGAGCGTAGAAGGTCAAACCGACGTATAGGAATGTCACATAATTATATATTGTACGTAACATCAAAGACAAAAATAAGCAAAAATCAGAATGTCACATCAACGTTACATCAGACAAAAATAAGCAAAAATCAGAATGTCACATCAACGCTACATCAAAGAGAAAAATAAGCAAAAATCAGAATGTCACAAACGCAACACCAATGAAAAATTACGCAAAAATTAAAATATCACTACACGAAACATCACTGAAAAAGAAATACGCAAAATAAATTTCCCATACGCAACTGCTTGAGGACTTCGATATAATAAACATCTAAGTGATTCACCTAAAAGATAACGCTTCTCTCAGGTAAACTAAAAAAAAAATAAAAAAAAAATCTCCTATGAGACACGTAGAATATAAATCCATCTTCCTTACGCAATTGTAGGAGGAATTTGCCATAATAAACACGTGGATAAGAGAAGAAGAGAGAGATGGATGGTGAAGGTTGAGAACTTACCTTATATCAGTAGCAGCCATGGTGGGTACTGTAGGTAAGATGACGCTGGTAGTAGTAGTAGTAGTGGTCAACAGTATTGGGGCAGAGTCCTCATGGCTCACCCCCACACACTCCCTGCACTCCACACGCGCACTCCACTTGGCCCAGTGCCACTCACACCAGGCACTTCAGGTGGCACTCAGCGAGAGGGTCACTTATGCCAGTGATCGGGGCATCACACACACACACATATACACACTCACACACATACACACACACACACACGCACACTCTTGATGCCTCCTTTAGTTTCAGTTGATTTTTTTTTTATTTCAGGTTTGTTTGAACGCGTTGCTATTTTTTTTTAATTATTCTTTTTTGTTCAGTATATATTTCTTCTGTTAGATTTTAGTTATTTTCTACGGATCAGAAACAACACCATTGAGAAACTAAAACAATTTATCCTGACTTTGAAATTAGGGGAAGAAAACTGCCGATTGAGGCAACAAAGTCAACAATAAGAACAAACTGAACCACAAATTAAATTGAAAACAAAACAGGGGGGAAAAAAGACCCAACAAAACTTTTCAATCTCAAGGAACTAGTTTGTTTGTTTTTCCGAGAAGATATTTTTCCCTCCACCTTTCTCTTTATTACTCTCTCTACTCCTCTCTCTCTCTCTGTGTATTACTCTTTCTCTCACTCTCTCTCTAACTCTCTCTTTTACTCTCTCTCTCTACGAGGGGAGGGTGGGTAGGTGGGCGGGCGAGGAGAGTGGGCCACACCGTCAGTAGTGGTTGGTCGTGGACACAAGGTGGGCCGCGTCTTGCTGTGCTATATCTCCCGTTTATCTGACCACACACACACACACACACACACACACACGACCTGTCACTATCTACCGCCGCCGCCGCCACACCTCGTGCCGTTTTATCCTTATCAGATTTCACACTTTACACTACTCCTCCGGGAAATAACCTGTTCCACGCACTTGTCACTAATGTCACCCCAACCACCGACACCAAACAACACTCACCACCACTATTTTCAACTTTAACGATCTACTTACAATATCCAAAAAACAAACTCAAAATTTGATCAAAAAATAATTAAATAACTATGGAATTAAATTATCGTCTCATTATAACACACACACACTGATAATGAGTGTCAGGTTGAGGTTGTAATATTTACATCACTCGTAATAATCATGTGTTGTAAAATATTCACTCGTGACACATCAGCTTTCATTGACGGTAGAGTCTGACACCAGTGGCCCTTCGATCCTTACCGCGAGCCGCACACACACACCGGCCACATGTGCCCATCTGAACACTTGTAAGTTTATGTGTTCAGTCCTACACCGAGATGCTCTCCACAGGGTACGACAGTTTCCCCCACGATCCCCGGCAGCCGTGAGAGTGAGGGTGCCAGACGTGCGAGCGATGGCAGGAGAGGGAACTCCGCTGCACGACAAAATCCATCACTCCTCTCGCCGTCCAAACCTGTCACAAGACTGACTCTCCTTATCGATAAACCAGATAACGAAAAGAAACTTACCATAAATTAACACAAAACAAAATTTCCTTGAGCTTGTCAGTTCAGTCGATACCCTAAGATCTGTCACAGAGAAACACGAATCAAAACTGTATCAATGTTCAGTCAGAAATTATGAATCGGTGTCAGAATGATAAGTAAACTTTAAATTCATTTTAATACAACGGGAGAGAATCTGGGAAACAGCCAAATGGACGATCGAGACGCCTAAAAGTGTCCGCCTACAACAACTAACTCTAATCTAATAGTCCCCCCTCCCCCCCCTCCCCCCTCCCACCTTTTACACTGGCGGTGGAGGGGGAGGTGGAGAGAGGTGTGGAGGACGGAGAGGGGAGAAGGTGGGGAGGTGGTAGAGGAGGAGGAGATGGAAGGTTAAGGTGGGGGAAAGGTATGGGGTAGGTAGAGGGTGGTGTGGATGGTGGGGGTGTGGATGGTGGGGGATGTAGACGGTGGAGGGAAGGTAGAGGTGGAGGTGGAGAAGGGAGTACTCGTTGAAGGAAGAGTAGGGATGGACAGTGACGGTGAAGACTGGAGAAGTAGGAGGAGGAGAAGGGTGAAGTGGAGGGAAAGGGAAAAGATAAGCGGACGTTGGAGGAGGGAACTCAGAAGAGAGGGAGGTGGGGAAGAGAGTGGGGGAGATTAAATAGGGGGGAGGAGTTAAGGGGAGGGAGGTCGGGGAGCTGAAGATAGTAAGGGAGGGGAAAGGAAGCGGGCCAGGGAAGTGAGAGTGTTAAAGGAAGTGAGGGAAGCGAGTGATGGTGAGGGAGCTGGCGGGAAGTGAGGGAGGTGGAGGGAAGTGAGGGAGGTGATAGGTAAGGAAGGCTGGTTGAAGATTTGGAGGGTGTACAATAGGTCACGCAAGTCAGTAGTACCGGGGTAGTAGTTATGTGTGTGTGTATGTATGTGTGTGTATGTATGTGTGTGTGTATGTGTGTGTCACGTACTTTACACACATGGAGGTATTGAGGGCGTGGTGTGAGCTAGGTAAACGGGCCCGTCCCTCCTCTCATACTTCTCTGCTTTTCTCAACTAAATCTCCAGAAATACACAGAATCTACTTCAATTTATTCAGCCTATTTTTTTGGGGGATGGGGGGTTGGGGGGGACACTGGGTATTGAAGTTTATTCTGTTGTTGACGTTTCTTACTCACAGTTGCAGAAAAAACAACAATAAAAACAACTAACCCGAGGATTTGTTTTAAGTTTCTCGTGCGCTAAATTACCCAATTGGTCAGACATAACGACCACACCCTCTTAAAAAAAAATTAACTAGAGGATTTATTTTAGCTGTGTGTGGTAAATCTCCCACAATTGGTCTGGCTTAACAACCACACCACCTATTCAGTGTGGTAAATCACCCAATTGACCTGATTTAACGACCCGACTACCTAAACTGCTCCCTTCCCCTTCCACGGTGTCATAAACCACTGACTCACTTGTCAGCACCCCGACCTTACCCTGTGGTTGTGTTCAGGTCGCCCCCCTTCAGCCTGGTCGCACCTCAATCACTCCTTGTCCGTCGTGGCCTCTCTCAGACTCTCGCTTTTATCAGACGGACAAGCTGAGGTCACTTGAGCGCCAGTGATCCATCAGCCCCTCACACTCCGGTCTGCCTCGTGTGCCGCCAGCAGGGTCTTCATCGTCTTAACAGCCGCCTCATAAATCACGATTATACGTCCATAATCACCCCGCGAATCCAATCTCTGGGGTCATTGATCAGCAGAACCCGAGGTGTGTGTGTGTGTGCCTGTGTGCTTGCCTGCGTCTCAATCAACGGACCAGACGCAAGATCCATTCCTTAAAACTGTTAAGGTGTAAACCAATCCTTAAATCACTGATTAGCCACTCCTGTGAGAGGTAGAGACCAGTTCCTAGTCGTTGATTCGTTGATTAGCTATGCTTTACTATTTTCCTCTTCCAATCTGAATTTTCCTCAATCTGATGATCTCTTGATTAGTGATGATTACTTCCAATCACTCACCCCAGTACCCTCCATCACTCCACCTCCAGTACCCTCCATCACTCCACCCAGTACCCTCCATCCACCTCCAGTACCCCCATCCTCCACTTCAGTACCCCATCACTCCACCTCCAGTACCCTCCATCCTCCACCCCAGTACCCCATCACTCCACCTGCAGTACCCTCCATCACTCCACCCCAGTACCCTCCATCCTCCACCCCAGTACCTCCATCACTCCACCCAGTACCCTCCATCACTCCACCTCCAGTACCACTCCATCACTCCACCCCAGTACCCTCCATCACTCCACCTCCAGCACCCCATCACCCACCTCCAGTACCCCATCACTCCACCTCCAGTCCATCCTCCTCCACCTCCACCTCCACCTCCAGTACCCTCCATCATCCACCCCCACCATCACTCCACCTCCAGTACCCTCCATCCTCCCTCCTCCTCCTGCCCCCATCCTCCACCTCCAGTACCCCCATCACTCCACCTCCAGTCATCCTCCACCTCAGTACCCTCCATCACTCCACCTCCAGTACCCTCCATCACTCCACCTCAGTGCCCCCATCACTCCACCTCCAGTACCCCCCATCACTCCACCTCCAGTACCCTCCATCACTCCCCCTCCAGTACCCTCCATCACTCCACGTGTCACCATCATCCATCAATCAGCAAAGAAAAGCAACAGGTGTGAATGTGGGGTGAGACGAAAAGCATCTGTTGCATGTGATCAACCAGTGGAACACACACACACACACACACACACACACCAGGCGCGTATCGAGAAACTTGCCCCAACAATAAAGTCTTGGTAAGGTTTACACCATCTTCCTCGTCGTCTTCGTAAAAAAAAAAATCAAGACTTTTAATTAATTTCGTCCTTTCCTTCATCCCACAACGACACGCTTCAGAATAATTCATAAAAAAAAACAATTATATGTAAAAAATATTGCCTGAAAAAATTATAAATGCAATTCAAATGAGGGTAAATATTATACTGTATTCAAATTATCCAAATTAAAAAATATATATAAACAAAGTACAATCAGAATATACAAGGAAAAAATGCAAACATTAGAAAAATATCGAAAAAATACAGCAGTCGATAAAAAGGAAAAAATAAAATACGAAAACTTAACAGCCACAAAATATAAAAGTAGAGATAAAATTATACACTAGAAAAGTTTGTATGCAGCAAAAATTATATAAAAGAATAGATAAAAAAAGGTAAGCCTAAATTAAAAGTTAGTTAAAAGTTTAAAAAAAATAACAGAAAATAGCAAAACCATGAAGAAAAATAAAATATATAAATAAAATAAATAAATAAATTAATTAAGCAATTAATAAATAAAACAGCAAGAAATACAAAAACGTAAATGAGCCAAAAAAATTATGAAAAAATCGCCAACAAATTGAGAAAACTAAATAAACCATTGATGAAAAAGAACCACAATCTCGGACTAATTTCGATAACCTCCCGTTAACTTCTCACCAGCAACCTGAACAGCATTACACAACCAGAGGGGCGGGGGTGGTAGGAAGGAGAGGGGTGGTAGGAAGGTTGAGGGAAGAGGAGGAGGTAGGAAGGTGAGAGGGAAGGGAGGTGGTAGGGAAGGTGGGAGGGAAGGGGAGGGGGTGGTAGGTGTGGAGGGAAGGAGGGGGTGGTAGGAAGGTGGAGGAAGGAGGGGTGGGTAGGGAAGGTGGAGGGAAGGAGGAGGTGGTAGGAAGGTGGAGGGGAAGGAGGGGGTGGTAGGAAGGTGGAGGGAAGGAGGAGGAGGAGGTAGGGAAGGTGGAGGGAAGGAGGTGTAGGGAAGGGTGAAGGGAAGGAGGTGGTAGGGAAGGTGGAGGGAAGGAGAGGAGGAGAGGAGAAGGTGGAGGAAGGGGAGGGGGTAGAGAAGGTGGGAGGGGAAGGAGGGTGGTAGGGAAGGTGGAGGGAAGGAGGGGTGGGTAGGAAGGTGGGAGGGAAGGAGGGGTGGTAGGAAGGTGGGAGGGGAAGGAGGGGTGGTAGGAAGGTGGAGGGAAGGAGGAGGAGGAGGTAGGGAAGGTGGGAGGGAAGGGAGGGGGTGGTAGGAAGGTGAAGGGAAGAGGGGGTGGGTAGGAAGGGGAGGGGAAGGGAGGGGTGGTAGGAAGGGGTGGGAGGGAAGGAGGGGGTGGGAAGGTGGAGGGAAGGAGGGGGGGTAGGGAAGGTGGAGGGAAGGAGGGGGGTGGTAGGGAAGGGGTGGAGGGAAGGAGGAGGAGGAGGTGAGGAAGGTGGGGAGGGAAGGAGGAGGTAGGGAAGGGGTGAGAGGGAAGGAGGGGGGGTGGTAGGAAGGTGGAGGGAAGGAGGGGTGGTAGGAAGGTGGAGGGAGGAGGGGTGGTAGGTAGGTGGAGGGAAGGAGGGGTAGGAAGGTGGAGGGAAGGAGGGGTGGTAGGGAAGGGAGGGAAGGAGGAGGAGGAGGTAGGAAGGTGGAGGGAAGGTGGAGGAGGTAGGAAGGTGGGAGGGAAGAAGGAGGTGGTAGGAAGGTGGAAGGAAGGTGGAGGAGGTGTAGGAAGATGGAGAGAGAGAGAGGGAATAATAAACTCTGCGGTGTTGTCTTGCCATCTTTCCCTCAGGCGGCTGTAGACACATTCATACGTTAGGAGAATTATTTATAATATACATACAAAAATTATAGATAAACACACACACACACACACACACACACACACACACACACACACACACTCATCAAGCTACTGTAAAAATCCTCACAAACAAAATTATCCCATGAATAATGTTGATTATTTTCTAATACATAATTCTTGTGACGCCACACGAGGCTCACTACACAGGAGAGTTTATGAGTGGTGGTG